GATTCAAGCCCGTGCCCCCGCCGCCGTTGCCGCGCAAGAGGGGCTCCAAGCAGAGGCGAGGAGTGCTAGCGAAGCCTGAATTACGCCGGCCTCGGGTGAGAGCAGACCTAGCGATAACACCGAGATGAACCAGATGGGCGCAACTTACATACGACAGCAGAGCTGTGCGTGTCAGCGTCGATCTTTTTGTGGGGTCCTTGTGTTCGTTTAGTCTCCTCCTGCCCGGCTAAGACAGCGCCGGTTAGAGGCCCACCCTTCAACAGCACCATCTGCCCTCGTTTACTGCCAAGGCAGGAATTCATGCGTTGATCTCTGACCCCGGTCCCCCCCAGGTGCCGGTGACGCCCAACGCAGTCTAACGCCAAGCTAACAGTACGTAACGTGTTGGCATAACTCCGCTTCCACCCGCCAATGGGGGTACCCCCCTAAACTATTCCCGCGTCCCCCCCGTGATGCCCTTCACCCGGTGTTTGCCGTCGGGGTTGGGTTTTCGCAACGACGTTGTAAAACAAGTCGATCACTTCGTGAGCTCGGCAACGAGTTACCGATTTTTTTTTGTCTTTGTTTTTTTCTTTTTGGTAACCATAATGATGGTGGTCGAGTAGACCATGTTGTGCGGGGTCTAGAACCCTCACTCCGCCCAAAGGGGATGATTGCACCACGATGTGTTAAATTGACCGAGCACCCTCGAGGCAGCTACACAGTGCTCACGACTGTCTCTGGAAGTGAAAGCGCCAGAAAATAAAGTAATTCGCAGCTGTCATTCGTGTGCGAGGACGTAAGCACAAGACGCCGAATACCCTCAGAAGGATGCAGCGCACCCTCCATGCGACTCGCCGAATACCTCACGGCGCTTTGCGATTGATGATGTGAGAGCCTGGTCCGGTGAGCACCCGGCGTGCTCCGTCCCGGCTTTGTAGGGATGCAAGGTCAATGGTCTAACGACTACGGCGTGCACGACTATGAGTACATCCCGCCTCAACCCCCATGATGCCATTTCCCCAGGACCGCGGTACTCAGCCGCCGATTCCCACGGTCAAGCGCAAACACCTTCCGCCCCCCCCGCTCGGTGAGACTATGGGTCACGGCCTGTCCCCACCCCGGGATCGCGGACTCGGAGAGACGCTCGGCGGCGGGAGCGACGCTGGTGGGCCGTCCTCGCCCGGCAGCTACGCTGTCAGGCATGGCAACACGAACAACAGCGACAGCAAGTTCAAGCGTGGCAGAGAGGGCGTCGCGGCACATCCAGCCGATAGCAGTGTTGGTCGAAAAAGAAAGAGCGGTGGCGGTGGCGCTGTGGGAGGCAGTAGCGAATCGCCGCACAGAATGGCAGGTCGTGAGAGCGGCGGGGACAAAGAGTTCCCGGCGCTTCCGGGCCAGAAGAAGCAGCAGGCGTTTCTGCCATCATCACCAGGGGAAGGGGAGGGGGGAGACGCAGGGGGCGAGGACGGCGGCGGTAGGAAGGCGCGGAGGAGAGGGTCGATGTCGCGGATGGGGTGGATCAGCTCGGGGCGGTCGAAGGGGACGCTCCAGGAGCTCTTTCAAACGGCCAAGGTTGTGTTGTGAAACCGGGTGATCTTCGACGTTCACAGGACCACTTCGTGGAACCCCCCCGGACGAAATCGACACGATGTCCAGTCGTGGTAGAAAATCGGTGTAGCGCTTATTGAGCGTACCGAAGGGTGGAGGCTGCTGAGTTAAAGTAGCATCCAATGGAAGAGGGTGTTGCGGTGCTGTGACAAATTTATTTGTTTCCCTTTATTGTGAACACATCTAGACCATACAACCATTTGGCGGCATTTTGCCGAGGAATGAAGATGCAGGGAGGTCTTTCGTAAGAAATTGGCACGAAAACTTGGAACCCGCCGAGGTGTTCCTAGAGGGTTGTAGCCTCGGTATGGCTTTTCTCAGTGGTGTGCCGTCCAGTAAATACTGACAATTGTGATGACGTGTAAGCGGAAACGTTAGAGAGGTTTCATTAACGTGGGGGTGCTGGATCCAGGACAACCAAGAGTGGATTGCTTGTAGTGATGTGCTTTGCAGGTGCTGTATTGTACAAGTAGAATGTTCAAGGCGAAACGCCACCCAAATAAGAGTCTCTGCCTGCACCCCTTTTGCTGCGCTTACTGTCTTGGTGCGTATTCCTTGACTGCACCTTCAATAAACGCGAAGCACAGGCGGTGCCCAGGCTTCTTCCGTCTTCGCGACCATATCGTTGCCCCGTTCGGACAAAAGTGACGATTCTTACGTGCATGTGTACATCGCTTCTTGCTCGCTCAGGAAAAAAGTAATTAGTGAGTTACTTCGGCAATCATGCCCTAAGTCGAGCCCAAGCAATACTTGTGTAACCGCAGATGCTGTTTCAAGCACAGCACACAGGAATCTAGGCATGCACGCGGCGTGAATGTGTCACTGACAAAGGTGCGTCATATCGACCCCGCCGACACATGAGAGTAGCCAGATCACTCCCACCCCCGACAGGCTCTTCCTAGTGCCCGATGAGAATGTCGTTCTTTGAGTTAAGGCTAGGGTAATATGTAATAAACCTCCGTCATTCTTCCTGGATTCGTTCAAGCCGACGTGTGGGAATGATTCCTCCTATCCATGACGTACATACGCCAAAAGCGACACATCTGTGCCAAAATCATGCTTCGTGCTTTCTTCCCCTCTATTCTACGCGTCTTTACGATTTTGGCGTGTGTTGGACGCAACAGCCGGGAGGTCACACGACATCATCGACAGCATCATCAAACCTTTTTCAAAACCTATAAAATAATCCAGGAAACCAAAACTACCTACCATTTACGGCTTCGAAGGTGCCCGAAAAGATCACTAAAAGGGCGATGACAGCATTAGCAACCATCCTTCGCACGGCATTTACAGCGAATTCCCGCGCCGGGCGGCAAAGTCAAGGCCGTTCTCCGGCTTGACGCGCCTCGGACTCATGGCGCGAGCAAGCCCGCGATGTCCCCTGTGCCGACCACAGTTATGCGGTCGTTGGACTCCCCCCTCGCCCTCTGGGCGACTGTGTTGAAGCCCCAATCGCACAAGTAGAGCCGGACGCCCTTCAGCAAGGAGGTATAAATACATTGGCAGGGCGGGGGTCGGGGATACGAACGAGCACATTTGGCTCAAAATCAGTCGACGATCATTGTGAATGAGCGAGCTTCAAACAGTTCATACTGTCCGCCGAGGAGCCAAGGAAACACAAAGAGAGGCAGGCGGAGTCGCCTGCCAAAAGAGTGCGCGGAAGACACTTCGACCTTGCGAGAATATGGCCATCAGCTAGAGCCAATTTGTTCACTGTGTGTGCAACGTGTGTGTGTTGTGTTTTGACTTTCGTCCCAATCAAGCCAGGTCAGTTTGGGCCCGTTCGTACGTGTTTGATGCACCAGCCGGTGTCCCCCCAAACAGGAGAAAGTGAAGCACATAGTACCATGTGCACCGCGGGGGCATTGTTCGGTGGAGTAAGATGAATCGGTGTTCTTCGTTAACACAATACCGCCGTCGAAAGTACGGGAGGTAAACCGACTTGCTACAGCAACAAGGGTACACGGCGTTCCTCCTCGTGCTCACGTCTAGCTTGCTGTCGGCGCACACCGCCTCCAAAGTCTCCACTCGATCCTCCAGGAACACAAGCGTGCACCCACTGCAATTAACAATTCCACCGGTCCATGTATGTACATGCGAGTAGGCAATACAGCGGGGGGTGGGGGGGTTGTAGTGCAGTTAGGTGAAGTGATAGCCGCTTTTAGGTGGCTAGACAAAACTTCTCCGGTTGATGGGCATGACATGCATCGACGTTCTTGCTGACTTGTTGTTGACGTAGTCTGTTGTTGTTTACTGTTGTGCGTCCACACCCATAGTCTTTCAAATCCTACAGAATCCTCTTCCGAACTCCTCCAGGCAAAACCAACTAAGTCCATGGTCACGAGCTAAACCCCAGGGTATGCAGCAAACCAGCCGGCGGGTAGTGGGCTTGCCCCCGGTACGTGGCGTGATGGGACGGCTCTTCAAGCACAAGCTACAGCCCGTCATTTGCAAGCTTGCTGGAATCATGTTTAGCGACTTTATTCCCCGTGTACAGCAGACATCCCCTGGGCCTACAGTGCTTTCCTGCTGCAGTAGGTCGTTGTTCACGGCAGAGCTCACCTGTGCTTTGTCTGCAGTTGGGCCAGCACGCTGGCCTTGGGACCAGTCCCTAGCCCGAATATACGATCTAACGGGACTTTGATACCTGCAGATACGTTAGCATGAATTGGGCGAACACAACCGACCTCAAGAAACGAACAACATGTCGGGAACGACGCGACCTTGGCAAGCCATAATGGTATTCCAGGCGAGAGGACCGGTGTTTACGTGTGCTTGCACGACATATTAGGCAACGACGGCACGGCTAGTTCGGGTGATGATGACAAGCGCTATGCAGCCGCGCTGCACGTGCTACTGATATGAAGAAAACCGCCTCGTATGCATAGCAGTAAGCAATCGTGAAGAGCCGTGTCTCGAAACGATGAGCCCGAATCTACCTTCCTGTCGGGCCAGCCGCATTTGTAGTTCGAGGCAGAGAGAAACGGCAACGCAACACCGTTCGCTGTGCGAAAACAAAAACTGGAAACTGCCGGCTTCTCGATGTACCTCCTCGCATATGATGGACGACTACCACGGGAAAGACCTCCCGATCAGGTACCTTGTGGGCCCTTCACGTTCTCATTCAATTACTGCGCTGCGCTCGAGTGGAAAAAGCACGCAGGCGAGCAGGGTGACAGCACCAGCAGCACCCACACCAACAGCGACCGGGTCCCTCCCGACTCTCGCTCTCTCGCTCTGTCTCTGACTCTCTCTCTGTCTCTGTCTCTGTCTCTGTCTCTCTCACTCATTCTCTCTCGCGCGCAGACGCGTACCGAACTGCTGTGGCACCAAACTAACTCACCGGCGTGCTCGAGAAGGGCGCTCGCAAACCGCGTCTGCTTCGTAGTGATGACGTACACCTCGCCCGTGCAAGCGGAGATCGCTTCGGGGATACCCTTCGCCGACCCGCCCGCACACACGCAATGAGTTTCATTTCCCGGCCACAAGCCGTCATCCGTATACGGCGACACCCGACAAAAGTTTGGGACAAACGGGAGAGACAAGTCCGCAGAGTGGAGGCACGCTGCCGATTGAAACGAGGGGGCGGGAAACTTCGGGGGTGCCAGATAAGAGTCTCCGCTGCCACCGACTGGCCGACCACCGATAAACCGGCCGACCACCGACCAACCAACAGACCGACCGACCGACCAACCGACCGACCGACCGACCGACCGACCGACCGACCGACCGACCGACGGACCGACCGAATAACCGACTTACCGACCAATCAACTGACCAGCCAACCTACGACGGCACAGCCGACCGACCGACCGACCCACGGACGCATCACCGACCAACCTACCGACCGACTAACCGATCGAGCGAGCGAGCGACCGAGCGAGCGACCGACAGCACCGCGCCGCACCGTACCGCACCTCGTAGAACTTGTTGGCCCCCAGCCACCCCTGGAAGTCGACCTCCATCCACTCGTCTCGGGCGCTGCCGAAGGCGTCCACTAGCTCCTCTCGACCGAGGCCGTACCGCAGGGCTAGCGCGTCTCTAGCCTCCGGTCCCCTTTATGTTGAAAGGTCGAACAAAAGAAGAATAGGATTTGGGGCCGTCAGGTAGAGACAGGCGTTGTCAAAAGGGGCGTAGAGGTTGACAAAAATCAGAAACGGTCGGCTATGTACATCTAGCCGCACCATGAGTCGAGCAGCCCCTCCGAAGGGTAGAGCACCGGCAACCCCAGCCTCTGCCGCAGCGAGCGCGTCAAGATCCGGCCGTCCCCAAGCAAACGCGTGTCAACCCAACACCCAGCCCAGGGAAGTCCAGCCGTCGTCGATGGAGCCAGGCCAACGTTGTCGGAAGACACGCGCTCGTGAGAAAAACGGAGGATCGGTGTCAGACGATGAGTTCTCGATACCCGGTCCGTAGATCGTGATTGGGGTAAGGGAGACACTGGGTCGGCAAACCGACAGCATCAATACAGCCGTGGCCTCTTTCAGTCTCCCTCGGGTCTTCGGCGACCCGACGTCATCGGCGTCGTGCACGAATATTTCGTCGATTATCGCTGTTCTCCTCGAAACTTGCGAGACTGGTTGCACAGTTGCCGCGCTTCACCGAAGGAGGTTGGTAGGCATATTCCGTGAGTGATTTTTGCAACGCTCTTCACACTATTGGGTGCGACACCCTTACCGCTAGCGGTGTGCGCCAGTACCATCAGGCCCCGCAAACCTCAACAAGTAGCACCAGACAAAAACTGGCCGCCCGAAACCCTGGAGTGGGCAGTCGGAGGCTCACGCCGGTGATTTGTCAACAGGGGGAAATATGATGAGCCTGTTGCTGCCAAGAACAGCGGGTAAGGCCTGGCTGGGATCGCACCCACCCCTCATGTATGCTGTGCCCCTGAGAATGCAAAATACACCCTGGTCGTGCGGCGCCAACACGTACCGCCCACTGCCCGCTGCTTGGAAATGGCTGTTTTGTGCGCAAACTGGTTCTGTGGGCGTGCCACATATTCATGCAAATTTGATCGCTGTGGTAGTTTTCTCGACAAAATGCGCTTTGCCGACAACCATTGGTCGGTCATGTGCACAGGGATTGCCTATGGAAAAGTTGTAGAGCAGGGCTGAGGATGGGGCTTGGACCACTGCTGTCACCTGCCTGCTCAGTAGCCGCGTGTGTAGGCTGCTCAATGCTCACAGCTTCCGTGTGGTGCAAATGGCCCATTGCCCTACCGTTGTGGCAGCCCCGCCTCCTCGCCGCAGATATTCCGCCACATTTGGGTGGTGCTAAACCTCGATTTGGTGGGTGTTTCAACCTTGAAATGACACATGTATTGTCGAAATACAGCACGAACATGTTCCTCCAACAAATACGGAAGTCAAACTAGTGTCATCATGATTGCTACAACAGGGCCTGATTTTCCCTGTTCCCCCCACCTCCTCGATGAGAAGCCGAACCAGGAGGATATTCTCGTAACCGGTTTCAACGATTGGCCGCAGCTCCTTCATCTTATCGAGAATCCTGCGGGTATCGAGGGCAGGAGAACGGAGTTGCTACACAATACGGCGTGTTGGGCTGTGGTACTAGCTTGCCCCATATTTTGGCCCTTACACAGTGAACGGAACTTGGCGGGCAGGGTTTTTAAGGTTGCAGAGCGTGGTCTTGGAGAAAAAAAACTTGGGAAATCGCCCACAATGACAAGGGGCAACATTACTGCTGCACATACGATGAAAGCACGCGCCAGGTAGCGTCAATCAATTGTCCAGCACCCGTCGGGGGGAAAGCCGTCTTGGAAGTCGCCACTGGGGGCGTTCCTAGTGGTCCAGGCGTAGAGTACGCACTGTGCCAAGCGCATCGCAGTTGCTAGCTCCCCGCGCGATTGGTGCCCGGCTACAAGCTTGCTAAATGCTTGCCTCAGCAAGCGACGACAAAGCACGACAAGAAGTAGAAACATACGTTCTTGTTCGACCTCGGGGGACGGTGCTTTGTCACAGAAAGTTTCGATTTCGAAAAAAAGAAGCATCTATCCAAAGGGGTACACGCGGGGCAGGTTTTCCAAGCGGCTGGTCATCTGCAACACGGTGACACATTAACCGACCACTTGGGGGTCGTCGCAAACACATAAGTCGCGGGAGGATTTGGGAGCGAGCGCCTCGAGGTGGCATTTTGATCAGAAAAAAAGCGCTTCGACCAACCGAGGCAACCAGAGGAACCGGAACGCTCGCCCGTCCACGGGTCAACGCAAATAAAGGGGGGCGCACGGGTGCCATTGCTGCCCCCAAACAAAGCCCGTCGCGTGCTGCGCGTACCATGCCGGGGCGTCGTCGGAATCCTTTTGTCCCCCGTCTTTGGTGCGGAGTTCCGCCGCTATCTCCGGCCACAGGACCCGCAGCGCCCTGAATCCAGACCTGCTGCTCTCTCCCTGGCTGTTACAGATCACGCCTGGGGAGGGGGGGGGAGTCCGCGAATCACAAAAAAAAGTCCAAGGTATCATCCGGGCGAGGCCGGCATCTCAAAGGGCGAGGAATTTTCGATCACCGCCCCTTCTACGCTGCGCGTTTCACACGAAAACGCTTAGCTTGTTCTCCAAAAGTCGTTCGATTTCAACGGGAAGCGACGGTCGCTGGCGGGCTCTCTTCGGTAGCACAGCTTATTCTAGCGCACACCGAAGGCTTAACGCGATCCTTGACGTGGAGCGCTACACTACCCAGTCTAGGGCGAGTGAAGAAAACAGGAATCCTGCTGTTGTACCTCACCGTCGAAATCGAAGGCGAACACATTGTCATTGCGAGCGGAGGCCCCCAAAACAGTCGACGAAGCCTCCCGGCCTTGCCCGCCGAGTTGTGGGTGTTGCTGCTGCTGGGACATGGCCTGTCGCCTGCAAGTCGAGGTCTGAGAAGCGAATGGGGGGAGGGGGGGGGAGTACAGCATGGACACCGGGCGTGTGTAGTCGACCGATGGACGTTGGTCGGGTTCATTGATGCAGAGTTTTCGTGTTTCTGGCACTGCTCAAGACAACAGCAACACATTGGTGCACACAACTCGACTGTGTGTTTTCAAGTTAGCCATCACTACCGGGTGGGCTTACATACATACCATGAACAAGGCAAACGTTGTCGACCCATCTACTTTGTACTTGAAGCACATTAAGGGCGAGTCATTCCAAACCCCGTACGTACAAACCGACGTTCAAATTTCAAATGTTCCACAACCAAGAGGATTGGTCCATGAACCGACCGATAACGTGCAGCTTTCCGAAACCACGCCTTTGGGCATCGGTAACCTGTTGGCCGTTGAGCAATCGAGCTCCTACTGAATGATAAGGAAACGGGGGTGTGCCACTGCTCGTACTCTCTAACGGTGTAGCCTAGAGTCTCTTCCACATGCGCGCAGTGTAGGCTACTGTCGTCTTCCAAGCACAAACAGTAGAATTTAAGATGAAAACGCACAAGGAAGCGGAGAGACTAATACCGCAAGTGTATGCAAGGATGGGATAGTAGCGATCCCTCCTAACCAAACACCGTACCTAGGAGATATGACACTCCGGCAACACCAGCGACTGTACTAGCTGGTACTGCAGGATAGAAGGACTGGCACACAGGGAGTCGCGAGCGTTGGGCACCTGCAAGTCTACTCTGTAGAACAATCGAACAGCCGGAATTCGTACGTATGTGGACCCAGTGTTCGAGGCATGACTTGCTTCCGCACGAACCGCTGTGGAAGCCTCCCGGAAAATGTGAAATCTTCATTTACTGCTGCTGCTTCTGCCTCTGCTGCTGGTGGCTGATTGAACGAGGCTTCGATCCAGAATATCACACGGCATGGTTCATGAGGAAATGGCACAGACAGGAGGCGGAAGCATCCGCGAAGCGCCAGCGCCAGCGCGCGGAGGAAGCAGAGACGGAGAGTACGGCCGCCCCGGGCCCGAAGAGAAAGAGAATCGGGGAAGCGGCGGGGGGGGGGAGAAACGGCGACCGGACACTGCTGTAGAAGCGAGTAGGGCGGCCAAGGCCGCGCTTGCGGCGAACGACGTACCCAACTGATGATGTTGTCGCACCCTGTGTTCCCTTTTCCCTGCCGTAAGCT